GTACTTCAGATTAGGGCTAGAACCAAGGACAGTTTTGTTGTATGTACTGGTTACAAATCAATTAGTTCCAAAGCTGGACAGCACTTGTACCTGTTGTAGCAGTGCCAGTATCAGCACTGTTTCCAAACTGACATGCTTTCAGGAACAAGGCACTCCTTGTCCTCCAGTCTCAGAGGGTTCTCTGATAGCACAGGAATGATTGGGAATGGCCAGCAGCTGAGGGACCCAGCTAACTCCATGTATGTCTACAATGCTATGGGAAATCTGGCACAAATGTGACTCCCACAAATAGAGCTGTGTCCTACCTCGATAACTCAGTCATGGAGGGGAAACAGGGCCAGGAGCTCCAGCCCTCTGCCTGTCCTGTGACTCCACCTGAATTCCACAGCCCACGCTGTACTCTCGCTGTCACTGCTGTGCCTGTGTGCAGCCTGGGATGGATTATTTCTGCACGTTGCAATCACATTCTGCCGTTGTAGAACAGACTTGATCAGTGTTTCAGTAGTTGGCATAGTTATAGTCAGTATTTTTTACTACTGTTGAAGTTTATTACCAAATATTCCCTAATCTAATGTTTTGATTGTCCTTGAACAAGGTTTTATTTTTTATTTGCTAAATTAGTAAAGGGCACTATTTATTGTTCAAACAACCAAACTGATAAGTCCAAAATTACTGTGAAAATGATACTGAAGTTTCTCAGAAATCGATTGATTCACAACTGTTGAAGTATAAAAACTAAAAAATAGTTTAACAAATCTGCAGTGGATGTGCGAATGGGGAAAAAGTTACAAGTACTGACACATCCTTATTGCAGACAGTTTGGCATCCTAAACACAGGATGGCTGTGCTGGTTGGATCCTTAAAGGAAAACATGTTATAGCTAGCCCAATCTCTCTCAATATAACCTTATTTTCACCTTTTTCTGCATGAGTCAAAAATGGGTTTTAAAATAAATTTGAAACACCAGAAACAGTAACAGGGTAGAATTTTGTGTCAGAGTCTGTGCCCACTGACGTGTTAAAATGTAAAATTGCTCAGTGCAATTCATTGTTACCACATAGGAGCACACCTTGGAGTATAATATATATTGTCAGTATAAACTCCTGAACAAAGCACATCTCCACTTACTGGGGTTCCTGTGCTTTTTCATTCCAGGAGAGAGCGCTTGATGCCTGCAAAGGCTCAGAACCATTCACACTGCACACAGGCACCTGCAATTCTGAGGTGAGTACACGGCACCAGAGTCTCAAGAGTTCTTCCTGAGCTGCTCATTTCTCCTGACAGCCCTGCCAATGCACAGTGCAAACACTGGGGCAAAGTGTCCCTGAGCAGGGTAACTCCAGCCAGGCAAACAGCCAACCCCACTGGATTACCTTCTTCAGAGCTCACTCTGATGCTGCTCTTGCAAAAACAACACCTTCCACTCCACATTTGTTTTCAACATCTCCTGTTTAGAAAATGTTTTGGAACAAAAGTTCCCAAGAGGGTAACTCTTCTCTATTTTGATCTCTTTCAGATCATCTGTCCTCCAAAAAACAACCGCTTAATCAGCAAGAAAATTCCTTTTGTAGTGCCAAGCTCATCAGCTGGTCTGCTTGATAGCAGTGGAAATAATGAAGGAAGAGAGAATATTCTTGAGATGGGTCTGTCAAATACTATCCCACAGAATGCAAAAACAAGCAAAGGTGTCTATCTTGAACTATATTCAGCCCTAGCAATTATAAGAAAATCATAACTATTACTAGTTGTTCAATATAGAAATGTTATTTTCCATGTAAAATTGTCCCTTCTCAGAGTAAAGCTGTGCCTTCTGCTGGTGTCATCTGATGTGTGAGTTCACTGCAGGAAACCAGAGACACCACAATGTTTTTTGATTAAATGTATAGATCAAAAAGCTGAGTTTGCTAATTTTTTTTTTTTAATACTGACCTGTAAATGTAGAGCTGCCTTTCCCACACACACAAATACTGAGTGTTGTTTTTGACAGACGTATTAACAAGAATAGCTAGTGATAAGTAAGCAGTCTCAAGTCAGTCTTAATTCCAGTTTTCTGCAGTGTGTGACACATGTATAGGGTTTTGTTGTTGTTCAATTCAAGGATCTAATTTTGCTCATTTTAACCTTTTCTAGATCATCCAGGCTCTGAGAGCAGAAAACCAAACTTCTTTGGGAAGATTCCTTTAGCTGGTTCGACTGCAAACAATCAAAGCAGTCAGGATGTTGCCCCACCACCGGCTCTTAAGCACAGACCACAACCAGTGCACCTCGGACAAGCAGTGACAAGTAAGGCATCACTTCAGTTTGAGGTGGCAGTATTTGCCTTGGCCAGATCTAAGTGACCAAATTGTTTAAAATATTTCTAAATATTAAGATCTTTCTAAATTTTGTGCACATTTTAGGTATTTCATGTACTAGCTGCTCCTAACTCGATCCCAGTGTCTCAGGAGTCTGTTTCTGTACAGACACTCCTCTCTTCCCAGAAGTCCAGGCACTGCCTATTGAGAACATTGGCTCCAGGGTCACTGTCCAGAACATTCTTTTCCAGGGTCACTGGGAGGCTGAGAACAGTTCTGAAAAGACCACAATAAAAATACAAAACATACAGCACACACTGAATGTGAAATACATTAGTTGGTTCAGTCTGGAATGATTTTTCTTGCCATCTTAAGCTGTGCTCTTGTGTACCTCTGCAAGAGTAGCTCCTGACTCCAGGAACAGGTGACAGGGTGCCATCCATTCCCTCACTTACATGATCTCAGGTCTTCCTACAGAACAGAGGCAGGAAGGGCCAGCTTCTGGTTTGGGAAGCCTGACTCTGCTTGTGGGTGAAGCTCTGGGAGCTGTTTTTGCTAACTTTTTGCAAACTGCTTTGTGATAGTTCTCAGCGTAGCTGGCCATCCTTCTCCCTGGCAATTCACTTGAGTGATGACATAATTTCTGAATAAATCAACAGACTAGATTGTGCAGGAAAAGTTCATCACACAACCCTCAGCAACAATCAGAATGACAGAGGCATGTTCTCCAAAGCAACGTGGCTTTTGGTTCTTAATTGTTTCCTGTACACTAAAAACCCCAATATCAGTACTAAGTGTTCTAATCACTTTGTGAAAAGAGACAGAACCCAAAGCTCTTGACCATTTTGCCAAGAGTATTACTTTTCTTATCAGTTTGGCTTTGATGTATATTCATTTTCCCAGTTTCACGGTACATGTTTCAAACACTCCTGCTACCCTGAGCTGTTATCTGTCCTTCCATTTTTTACAGGAGAAGTTTTCTCATCTGTGCCAAGCCAAGCTGTTTTGTGTGAAGTTCAATACAGATGCTCAGCAAATAGCATAAGACCTGAAAATCTCCTCCCTAAAAAACTGAGCACTTAATGGTCTTTAGAAACACTTATTTTCTGCCATCTGACCTTCATGAGTTTCAAATAAAAGATGAAAATACTTTGGACTAGTTTTGAACCTGCAATGCACATAAACTAACTCTTCCTACTTTCTTCCTCTACTGGGTTAATATTTCTGGTGTCGATGTTACCACTTGCTAAAAACTTCTGGAAGAAAATAGTACTAGTTTAACTCATTTTGTTTCCTTTTTCCCTCTCACTTCCTTTTCACTTTTTGTTTCCAGGTCGTTGCTGCAAAGGAAACTTCTGCCAAATACTCACGTGCCAGAGACAGACCATACTGAGCTGCATGACGGAAGGACGTCTCAATCACCTGCTGGACGTGCTTCGCTCGCAGCAGACGCTGTCCCGAATGGATTATGAGACAATCACCTCCCACCCCACAGTGACCGGGCGAGCTCGGGCACTGCTGGACACTTGTCTTTGCCTCGGAGAGAGGGCAGCACAAGGGGTGCTGACTGTGCTGTCAGTGATCAAATGTAGTCCTCTGCATTATCAGCATTGCCCAGGCTGCCCTGCTAAGGTGAACAGGCTGCTGTTGTGACGTATTTTCCTGCAGTCTGTTAAATTCCTCTGAGCACCAGTACTCTGTAACAGCAACGATTCATGTTAGTTCCTCATAACCCATTGACTGAAGTCAATCCTTCCTACAGCCCATGACATTTTTAAGATTGAAAGGCTTCAGAGAACCAAGTATTTCTTCAACAGGGCCTTGAGGAAGACTTGGACGTTGCACTCAGGTGGGAATACCGAGTGCTGCAGGCTTTCTTGCCTTCCTCTGGACTTCTCCACGGACACAGATGCTTCGGAGCATCCTGCTGCTGCATGGGCTCATCCACAGGTCACAGACCGTTTGAGTTCACACTGGAGTTCCAGTTTGTCCAGTACACAGAAACACTGCTGTTATCAGAATGTTCCCAGGCACAGGAGAGCAAGATAAGTGGTACAGCAAGCAGTGAAAGCAAAAAGCCAGCCACTAACAAGCACTAATGTACAGAAGGCAGCAAGCCCCATGGCAAGCACACAAGCCTGTCAGCAGCTAAGCAGCAATAGCAGCTATAAACTTGATCTAGCACATTCCAACCAAATCTGCTCTTGCCTTGAACCCTTCGAGCCTTGTGTTGGGTGCCGTGACTGTGCAAGCTCTGCTCAGCAATAACAAAAACATCCTGGAATTATCAACACTGTTTTCAGCACAAATGCAGAACACAGCCCCACAGTGGCTACTGTGAAGAAAGTTAACTCTACCCCATCCAAAACCAGCACAACTGTAAAGGAAAATAATAAGATTACTCTAGTTATAATGAAAATTACAATATAAGATGCCAGTTTTTTGAAGGCCCAGTGGGATTTCTTCAAGCTTCATGGCACCAGATTAACATGAGAATTTATGCAATCTACAGGTATTTCAAACACAAAACCATGTTACTCTGTTTCTCTGTGTTGCCTTTGGCTCTCTGCAGTCTCAAAGTTCTCTCTGAATTCAGCAGTTTGGTAGACTGCAATTTTAAATACAGTAATATGTTGTCTAAGCATACTTAAAGAGATAAGAAATTTGTTACATCAAATTTGCCGCTACAATACTGATGAAAGCATAAACATAATTTTCTTTTGCATAACTTAATTAAACTTTGAGACTGCCTTGAGATAAAATGTTGTTACAATTAAAAGCATTGTCTACCAGGATGTGTTGACAATAGTTTTGCTTATTAAAGGAGCTAAATATCTGTTTCACAGTTAATTTTTTTCTCAGTCAACACTTTAAATGTGAATTTTCAACAGTCTCTGCTAAAAAAGGGATGTGAGGGAAAGAACTGCTGTCAGGGTGTTTTGCCTCTTTAGAAGGAATAAAATAATCTGAGTAAAACAAATAAACATTCACCTGTGGGAAACAGTTCCCAATTTTTAAAAGAGAAACTGGCAATACTGTTGAAACTTAATTATCAGCTTCTGTTGGACACTTTATACTTCTGTGAAAGTTGTGCTGGCTGGCAGGCTATGCTGATTTTTTGTCGTTATGTTTTTGACACAGAAATAGTTTTAGCTCTTTTCTAGAAACACTTGCCTACTTCAGAACATAATCTGATGGCAGACCTAAGCCCAGTGTCAGTGATGCAGAGCTGGCATCAAAGAATGTCTCCTCAAGAATATAAATCTCCTAAGGCCTGCAGTGTGTAACAGTGCCTAATGCTGATGGAGTGTGTAACTGTGCCCTCAGTGTGTAACTGTGTCTAATACTGATCACTGCAGTGTGTAACTGTGCCCTCAGTGTGTAACAGTGTCTAATACTGATCACTGCAGTGTGTAACAGTGTCTAATGCAAATCACTGCAGTGTGTAACTGTGCCCTCAGTGTGTAACAGTGTCTAATACTGATCACTGCAGTGTGTAACAGTGTCTAATGCAAATCACTGCAGTGTGTAACTGTGCCCTCAGTGTGTAACAGTGTCTAATGCTGATCACTGCAGTGTGTAACAGTGTCTAATGCAAATCACTGCAGTGTGTAACAGTGTCCTATGCTGATCACTGCAGTGTGTAACTGTGCCCTCAGTGTGTAACTGTGTCTAATACTGATCACTGCAGTGTGTAACAGTGTCTAATGCTGATCACTGC